TGCCTGTAGCTGGACTCATCATTGTTTGTGATGCATCCCACCACCGCTGTATCATCTGCAAACTTTACAATGTGACAGCCTGGATGGGTAGCTGCACAATCATATGTGAGCAGAGTAAACAGAAGGGGGCTCAACACACATCCCTGAGGAGAGCCAGTGCTGAGGGTTATGGTGGAGGAGGAGAGGTTGTGGATCCTCACTAACTGTGGTCTGTTTGTTAAAAAGTCTAGTACCCAGTTGCAGATGGAGGGGCTTAGTCCTAGTGTGGATAGTTTGTCCATCAGGGTTTGGGGGATCATGGTGTTGAAGGCGGATGTGAAGTCCACAAAGAGCATACGGACGTAAGAGTTTTTCTGCTCCAGGTGGTTGAGCGCAGTGTGGACCACAGAGGAGATGGCATCCTCTGTTGATCGGTTCTCACGGTATGCATACTGATGAGGGTCCTCGTTGATGTTGATGGTTGTTTTGATGTGAGTCATGACCAGTTTTTCGAAGCATTTAGCGACTATCGGGGTGAGGGCCACTGGCCGATAGTCATTCAGACCAGTCACTGTAGAGCTTTTTGGGACTGGGATGATGGTGGCAGTCTTCAGGCAGGTGGGAACTGTCTCCAGGGTAAGTGAGGTGTTAAAGATGTCTGCCAGCACCTCACAGAGCTGATCAGCACATTCCTTCAACACTTTTCCGGGGATGTTGTCTGGGCCAGTTGCTTTGTGCGGATTAATCCTCCTGAAGGTACTCCTTACTTCTGCTGAGGTCACGCTGAGATGCTCTTCATCCGGTGGTGAGGTGAGTCTGGTGCTGGGTGGTCTGTTCGGGTCTTCAAAGCGTGCATAGAACTTGTTGAGGGCATCAGGCAGAGATGGGTCTTTGGGACATTGTTCACTCCTTCCTTTATAATCTGTTATGCACTTAATGCCCCTCCACATGCTCCGAGGGTCTTGTGAGATGAATTGACCCTCGATCCTCTTTGCATATGTGGCCTTGGCCCTCTTAATACCAGCAACCAGCTCTTTTCTTGTCCTACTCAGCTCCTCTGAGTTTCCAGACCTGAAGGCAGTGTTCCTGGCTTCCAGCAGGGTACGCACCTCTGCATTCAGCCAAGGTTTTCTGTTTGGGTAGCTTTTAACATTTCTGATAGTGGAGACTGTGTCAGTACATGTACTAATGTAACCCAGTACTGAGGATGTGTATTGGTCAAGATCAAGCGAACCTCCATTTTCAGCAGCTTC